AGAGAGAGAGAGAGAGAGAGAGAGAGAATGTGTTTATACGGACCCAAGACTTGGGGCAGAGCTCAGTGTACGCCCACTGATACCAATGGCAGTACTCTTTGTCGTCATTCTTCACTTTCAGACATCTGTGATAATCCAAATAGTTTTGATAGCAATTGCTGTCAACAAAAGAGATCATAATATTGATTATCAACTAAACGGGAAGTGATGGTCACCACCGACGACGACAACAACACATACCGGGACTGGTTTTGGTTGGGAAACCTCGGGTCGTAAGGCGTGGTCTTTATTGGCCAGACATCGCCGCCATCGGCACCACCGCTGGCCGCAGACGTCTTCGGCGCCTCTTTGCCGCCCTTCGAGTCCTTCTTCGCGTCCTTTGGTTTGTCTTTCCCCTTGTCTTTGGTCTTCTCGTCCTTCGCCTTGTCTTTCGCCGATTGCATCGCTTCCTCCGGAGCACTGATATCAATACAATTGACCACAAAATCCTAATAATTGTCTCAACTTTTCTCTCAACGCCTTCTCGACAGTCGATACGAAGCCTACAATCGATAATCGTTTCGATCCACACATCGATTCATCGATTGTGTCCACACATCTGACACTCGTTTACAGTTTGTTTGCAATGAAAATGAATTCAAAGTTTTGTTTTATAACAAAAAAAGTTTATTTAATCACAATTTAATTTTTTTATACAATTAAAAATATTATTAATTATAAAATAGACATTATTTTACATTTAGTTTTCATTTATACAGAAAATAAACTCAAAATTATGTCTAAAATGTTAGACATTTGGAGTTTAGGAGTTAGTAAACTGATCGAGGGTTTTATGACAGGCCCTTCCTATGGCATAATTCAATGACTCTAAGCGTTGGTACAGTTGTCCCGACTGTCTGTCCATTTGGTATCATATCATCGGATGATTAGATGGCCATCAGGTGATGGCCGCCGAAGATATACACGATCTGTAGTTTTGCAGTAATTGTTCACATCTTTAGCCAAAGACCTGTTGTGTGGAAAATAATGGGAAAATTTAATACCTTATGAACTGAATAGAGAAACATTGAGATAACATTTGATGTCTTTTCTTATACCGTAATAATTGTATGAAAATTCATGAAAAGATTAGTATTTTTTTGTTTTTTAGTTGTTTTTTGTTATTTTGTATTTCAATTCAAAATCCATAAAAACTTGAAACACAACACAATTTGAATTCAATTTCTATTGCTCTCAATTGAATTTCAATCCATGTATTAATTTAATTGTTTTTATTTTGGCTGAAAAAAATGCATTTTGAGAGCAAATCATTTGTGTTTTTTGTTTTGATAACAAATACTTAATCTCTGTTCAGATATAAGAAGAGAAAACAACAACTGTTTGTGTGTTGTATTAAAGTCTCGATTGAATTCATTATGAAATAACTTAATTGATGTCTTATATCACTTCACTTCCTAATCATTTTTTTCAAGACTCTCTCTCTCCAATTGATTGATTAAAACTAATGTCTAATTAATGTCTGTATTGTCTTCGTATGTGTGGATCAGATCGACAAATGGGACGATCAAAGAGATAACGGGATTTTTCCCGGAAAGATATGATTGGTTTGCGAAACACATTAACACTCATTCATTGAGCCTTCATTTCATTCAGTTATTCATTTAATGTATTTTTTAATTGTAATTCAGACCTAATTTTTACTCATTTAATTTATATATATTTCTAATCCAATTAAACAATTTACTCTTAAATTAATTTGTATTACACTTATAAAAGTCTGAATAAATAAAAGTGTTTTAATAACTCATAAATACATAATTTATTAACAAAAATAGTTATTATTATAAAATACTATTACCGGTAATTATAAATTATAATTAAGTTGTATTAGAATTAATTTTTATAATGATATACCGATTTCATGACCATATGTTGGACAGTGAAGACAATGGCACTCAAACCGATGGAGGCATTGATGACAGCAATAATCCAATTGATGTGATATAAAAGTCGGATCCGTTTGTTGTCAAAGTCTGTCCTACTGTTAAAATACATGGATAACAGACCCACCACTGCATACACAATACCGGTGCCCAAAGCAATCAGCAAACGGTACTCCACTTTTGTTGACTCAATTAGATTAGGATTAATCCACTCAATACACTGTTTTTAAATATTTTAATAGTATTTAAAATTATGGCATTTAATATTGAAAAAGTTTTTATAAGTAAAAGTAGTATATTTTTACCATAAGTACAGCCAAAAAGATAATAAGTAGTGGACCGACAATAGCGGTGAGAATTGCCTTGATATCAGCCATTGGTCTATGATTTGATAATTACCCGATTGGTTTTGTTCGCTTGATTGACAATTGTATTGAAAAGTTTTATTGAGTTATAATTAGAGTATATTTCATACAAACTATTCAATTGAAGTACAGAAAGTGATTTGAATTGAAATTTATGATAAATTGTTTGATTTTGAAAAAAGTATTGAATTCGTAATGAATTTGATATTTCAAACATGCGATTAAATAGTAAAATAAATAGTTATTTTCAATTAATAAATTTTTACTCATTGATTTATACAATCAAAACAAACACCAAGAGCCAAAAATGTCATGAAATAATTATGAATGGTATGCGTAACAAATAGTTTATAAAAAAATTTAAATAATTGTGCAAACAAAGTAATTAAAAAAATAACCATAATCATTATTAAACAAAAAAAAGTAATTA